TGAGAAACAGGAAGCAAACCGCTTGAACGGGACTAGAGAATTTGGGAAACAGGAAGTAAGCCGCTCGAAAGGGACTTGGGGATTTGAGAAACGGATTTAAGAGATGGGACGCAAACCGCTCGAAAGGGACTAGAGGCGCTCAAAAGCGCTTAGAATATTTGAGAAACAGGAAGCTGACCGCTCGAAAGGGAGCAGAGGATGTGAAAAACAGGAAGCAAACCGCTCGAAAGGGACTAGAGGATTTGAGAAACAGGAAGCAAACCGCTCGAAAGGGACGAGAGGATTTGAGATTCGGGAAGCAAGCCGATTGAAAGGGACAAGAGGATTCGAGAAACAGGAAGCAAACCGTTCGAAAGGGACGAGAGAATTTGAAAAGCGGGAAGCGAACCGCCCGAAAGCGACTAGGGGATTTGAGAAACAGGAAGCAAACCGCTCAAAAGGGATTAGAAGATTTGAGAAACAGGAAGCATACTGCGCGAAAGGAATTAGAGGATTTGAGAAACAAGAAGCAGACCGCGTGAAAGGGACTAGAGAATTTGAGAAACAGGAAGCAGACTGCTCGAAAGATTGGAGATTTCAGAAACAGGAAGCAAACAGGATGCAGACTGCTCGAGAGGGACTAGAGTATATGAGAAACAGGAAGCAGACCGCCCGAAAGGAACTGGAGGAATTGAGGAGAAACGGGAAGCAAACCGCTTGAAAGGGATTGGAGGATTTGAAAAACAGGAAGCACACCGCTTGAAACGGACTCGAGGATTTGAGAAACAAGAAGCAGACCGGCCGAAACGGACTGGAGGATTTGAGAAGCATGAAGCAAGGCATTTGAGTAACCGGAAGCAAACCGCTCGAAAAGGACTAGAGGAATTGAAAAACAGGACGCAAACTGCTCGACATGGACTAGAGGATTTGAGAAGCAGGTAGCAAACCGCTCAAAAGGGACTAGAGGATTTGAGAAACAGGAAGCAAACTGTTCGAACGGGACTAGAGGATGTCAAAAACAGGAAGCAAACCGCCCGAAAAGGGCTAGATGATTTGAGAAACAGGAAGCAACCCGCTCGACAGGGACGAGAGGATTTGAGAAGCTGTGTGCAAACCGCTCGAAAGGGACTAGAGGATTCGAGAAACAGGAAGCAAACCGTTCGAAAGGGACTGGAGGATTTGAAAAACAGGAAGCCAACCGCTCGAAAGGGACTAGGGGATTTGAGAAACAGGAAGCAAACAGTTCGAAAGGGACTAGAGGATTTGATGAACAGGAAGCAAACTGCTCGAAAGGGATCCAAAAAGATTTGAGAAACAGGAAGCGAACCGCATCGGCATTCTGGCAGAAGTTAAGGTCCGATCCTACTTGAAAGCGAAGGCGCCCTTCGAGTACTCCTTGCTGAGGCGAGGTCTCTTCAAGCTCCATGGCTGCAAATGGCCCGAGGGTATTCTCCCGGAAGGAATTGAACCCGCTAGAATTCTGAACCTTCTACAGAGTGCAGCCCTTGGGGCAGCATCGCAGTTCTACGAAGCCTGAGTCTGCGTTCAGCCTCCCGATAGCACTAGGAGTACCGCAGGAACACTAGTGGAGCAGCAAGGAGTACCGCAGCAACGCTAGTGGAGCAGCAGCAGGAGAAGTGTTGGGGATAGTCGTGGTAGTAGTCGTCGTGGCAGTAGTAGTCAGTAGTCCTAGTGTAGCAGTAGTAGCTGTAATCGCAGTGGTAGCAGTCGTAACAGTAGTAGCAGTAGTAGTAGTAGTAGTAGTAGTAGCAGCAGCGCAGTGTAGTAGTAGTAGTAGTAGTAGGAGGAGCAGTAGCAGTAGTAGGAGCAGTAGCAGTAGCAGTAGCAGTAGCAGTGGCAGTAGCAGTAGCAGTAGCAGTAGCAGTAGCAGTAGCCGTAGCCGTAGCCGTAGCGGTAGCCGTAGCCGTGGCCGTGGCGGTAGCGGTAGCGGTAGCGGTAGCGGTAGCGGTAGCGGTAGCGGTAGCGGTAGCGGTAGCGGTAGCAGCAGCAGTAGCAGTAGCAGTAGCAGTTGTTGTTGTTGTTGTTGTGGTATTATTAGTAGTCGTAGTAGTAGTAGCAGTAGCAGTCGCAGTAGCAGTAGCAGTAGTAGTAGTAGTAGCAGTAGCAGTAGCAGTAGCAGTAGTAGTAGTAGTAGTAGTAGTAGTAGTAGTAGTAGTAGTAGCAGCAGCAGCAGCAGCAGTAGTATAGTAGTAGTAGTAGTAGTAGTAGTAGTAGTAGTAGTAGTAGTAGTAGTAGTAGTAGTAGTAGTAGAAGCAGTAGCAGTAGCAGTAGCAGTAGCAGTAGCAGTAGTAGTAGTAGTAGTAGTAGTAGTAGCAGTAGTAGTAGTAGTAGTAGTAGTAGCCGTGATAGCAGCAGCGATAGTAGCAGCGAAGGAAGTAGTGATAGTAGCAGTGGTAGTAGAAGTAGAAGTAGCAGTAGGAGTAGAAGTAGAAGTAGCAGTCGTCGTTGTAGTCGTCGTAGTGACAGTAGTAGCGGAAGTGTTAGTGGTAGTGGTAATGGTAATTGTAGTAGTCATAGTCGTCGTCGCAGTTGTAGTCGTAGTCACGCAGTCGTAGTAGTAGTAGTAGTAGCAGCAGCAGTAGCAGCAGCAGAGGAGCAGTGGTACCAGTAGCAGCAGCTGGGGTAGTAGTAGTAGTAGTAGCAGCAGCAGCAGCAGGAGTAGTAGTAGTAGTAAGTAGTAGTAGTAGTAGTAGTAGTAGTAGTAGTAGTAGTAGTAGTAGTAGTAGTAGTAGTAGTAGTAGTAGTAGTAGTAGTGTTGTAGTAGTAGTAGTAGTAGTAGTAGTAGTAGTAGTAGTAGTAGTAGTAGTAGTAGTAGTAGTAGTAGTAGTAGTAGTAGTAGTAGTAGTAGTAGTAGTAGTAGTAGTAGTAAGTAGTAGTACGTAGTAGTAGTAGTAGTCGTCGTAGTAGTAGTAGTAGTGTAATAGTAGTAGTAGTAGTAGTAGTAGTAGTAGTAGTAGTAGTAGTAGTAGTAGTAGTAGTAGTAGTAGTAGTAGTAGTAGTAGGTAGTAGTAAGTAGTAAGCAGGGGGTAGTAGGTAGTAATTAGTAAGTAGTAATTACAGTAGTAGTAGTAGTAGTAGTAGTAGTAGTAGTAGTAGTAGTAGTAGTAGTAGTAGTAGTAGTAGTAGTAGTAGTAGTAGTAGTAGTAGTAGTAGTAGTAGTAGTTATTGTTATTATTTTTCGTAGTAGTAATAGTCGTAGGAGTAGGCGCAGGCACAGGCGTAGGCGTAGGAGTAGGATAGCAGGAATAGCAGTAGAAGTAGCAGTCGTAGCATGTTGTTTTCCTGAGCCATTGCAGGAGACACACCCAACTTTCTCGACAGCATATTTGTAGGAGATGTTCCACGTGTGAAGGTGTTCAAACACATGACCTCATACGCCTGGACAGAGATCCTAATCCTGGACCACGAGATTGAAGCTGAAGGTTCAAGGGGTTCTGTTGCGGGGAGTGAGGCTGCAAGTGTGTTCTGGCATGGGAATCGGGGCTTTGGAATTCAACTAATTGAAAATAACCTTGTCTGTTAACTCCTGCTGACTGTTATGCAAACTGGCGAAGGCTGCGTCGAGATGTGCCATACCTGAGGGAGTTCCTGCCTGGCCCAGAGTAGTTGGCTCGGCCCTAGCCCTGGGCCAAAATGCCCTGCTGATGCCGTATCAGCGACAAAAAGTGGTGCAAAGCCTTAGGATTCGGGCCTTCGAGGATCGTGGAGGTTAGCATGCATGAGGGGAGAAGGACGCTTGTGAATTGGCGAGCTCTGAGCCTGACCAGTAGACCAAACACATTTCCAACAAAGCCGTCCAATCCTCTGAACGGAGCGCTAAGTTGAAAGATGAAATATCCAAACGGAAGTCGTCGTCGTCATGTTGGTCATCGTACTGGCAATGAAAAGTCTAGATTCGATAAATATCGGAATATGGGCAGTATAGTGACGCAAGAGAGAGAGAACAGTGACGGCAGTGACCAGAATGACAATATAAGTCTTTACTTTTACAGTAGTAGTAGTAGTAGTAGTAGTAGTAGTAGTAGTAGTAGTAGTAGTAGTAGTAGTAGTAGCAGTAGTAGTAGTAGTAGTAGTAGTAGTAGTAGTGGTAGTAGTAGTAGTAGTAGTAGTCGTGGTAGTAGTTGTAGTAGTAGTAGTAGTGGTAGTGGTAGGGTGGTAGTGGTAGTGGTAGTGACCTGGTAGTGGTCGTAGTAGGAGTAGGAGTAGGAGAAGTAGCAGTAGTAGCAACCCCTTGTACTGGCATCTATCTTCTGCATGCGTACAAAAAGCACGAAGCAATGGAAGCCGAAGCTGTTTCCGGACTGGGACTGTTCAAACATATTCTTACAGCAGAACGTACACATGTGGTGTTGCAGCATGATAAAAGCATCGGATTATGCCACACACATATAGCACACGCAGGCACCATGTCTATCTATCTCACTCTCTATATTTACGTGCAGATGAACATATAGACAGATTCACATGTGAGTACATTGGTACATGTGTACATATACATATGTGTACATCTATACATATATCTGTAGGTGTATACACGTACAGTCCTTGCCGGGTGGGTGGTGCGGACGGGCTCCGGGCGACTGCAAGCTAAAAGCAAAACCCGCACAAGATGTGAGGAACAGAATAATGACTCCAGTAGATACATAAATTAAGTAAGCACATGAACAACTGACTAACGAAATCATCTACTCGAGGCTCGCAAACTATCTAAGCACATAGATGAATGAGCAAATGTGTGTATGTACATGTATACATACATACATACATACATACATACATATGTGTGCATGCATGTGTATATATATATATAATATATATATGAAATTATGCATGTCTACTATCAATTCATTTGTTGGTTCAACTGGTTGTGTACCCTCAAGCCGCAAGGCTGCATGCCCAACCCTCCAAAGATGAACCTGGACACCCAGAATTACTCAAATTCAGCACATCATGAACCATCACGAAGTATCTCCAGTGCAAACTGTTCTGATCCCTGCAAGGGTCCTCCAGCTTCGCCTCCTTCACTCCACCGCTCACCTGTGGTGCCTTGGGTGTCAGCATTCATGGGCTGTGGGCTGGGGTCAGTGAGGTTTGAGACTTGATTGCACGGGCTGCATTGGTGCCTGCTGGCTAAGGTGGCTCGCTCAGTCCAGCTGGCACCGGAGGGGGTGCGCTCTCCGAACGGCCCTCTGACTCTCTCCTGACACCGGGGTTGTAAATGATAGTCCTACACAGATTTCTGTACGTTGGTATGTGTTAGATATGCATATCTCTCTCTATATATATGTATGTGTGTATATGCATGTATGTATGTATGTATGCATGTATGTATGTATGCATGTATGTACACATGTAAATATGTATAGAACTAGACATGCACAGCGAATGCACTCGTACAGTTTGAGTAGATCATGCTTCGCATGGATCTCTGTGATACTTGAGATGCCGGAGGGTTGCAGAGGGTTTCTGAGTGTTAACGAGTGTTCACAGGACCCGTAGACCGTGGCTTCACCTCCTAAGACTTCCCCCGTACCGCCGACAGAAACCCCAAGCACCAGAAGACTAGAGTGATTAGAAGAAGCGATAGGAAGGAAGTCCTGGATCGGGCCCATCCAGCAGATCTAGCAGCTAGCACTTGTTCATATCAGCTGGGACTTTCTTTTTACTTGTGCATCAATTTTGTTCTTTGTCGGTTTCGTGTTTTGTTTTTTTTCATCTTGCGTGTATTTGGTGCCTCTAACACAGGCGAAACCATTTCCATTGTCCGTAGCTCTTGTTCGTTATCCTTAACACTCTGCGGCTCTCCCGGACGAACGAAGTCAGCCAGTTCTTGGCTTCTGCGAATGCGAAAGAATGCCCTCGATCTGTTTGACATGGCTTCATCGAAGCCGTTCCGACTATGTCCCAAACTGCCTCGATTCAACATGCACATCAAAGCCAAGTGACGAAGCTGCGACGACAGCCTAACAGCAGCAACAACGCTTGAAACTATGCCAACCAGACCTGCAGTTGGTGAGTTTTTCGATTGCCTGCTGTGACACTTTGTCTCAACCTTCAGTTTGTGTACATTGAGCCATGTTAACGCAAAGAAGCTATTTACGTGGCACAACAAGGGCCCGTGAGATAAACACCGCAGGCTCCTGGAAGAATTGAGAGGTTTGACGAACTCCAGGCGAAACTTCAATCCTGTAGGATAGGCTAAGTGGTTGGATATTTCTGTTTCTCCGTGACAGCAACCGAAATTTATTAAACAAAACCCTCAACTGGTTCCACTCCTTCCGTCTGCTGATCTAAAGAAGTTCAACAGGTGATCTTGCAGAGTCTAGGCAAGGTCTTAATAGTTCAAGGAGCCACTCTGGGATATCGAGACATTCGGCAGTACGGGACAATTGGACTGATGCAGTTCGCTTAATTAGCAATTACGTGTTTTGTTGTGTACAGAGATACATAGTCAGACATGTTTTATCGACTGACCGATCGAAAATGAGCTTGATGTTATTTCGCTAGAGGGTCAGGTGCTTGCCTAACAGCAGTCACTCAGAGCTGCCGCCCACCTCCCCTGAACCCGCAATGACTCCTAGCTGGTTGAAGCCCAGGAAAGATCCCCGGGGAACGATCAGCTTCTCCGGGGGTCACTCTTTCACGGCACCATATTTTGAGGCCGTTGCGGGCAAAGGGCTTTGGGATTCGCGGCTGTGGCTGTTCGAGTCGAAAGGCACAGGTTCTTTCTTAGTGCCTCAGTGTCTAGATTCGGGAAATTGGTGAGGTTCGGGTTTCTGTTGGTGCTATGCTCGCTGGGACTGTTACCTTAAGGGGATGCATGACGTGAATCGTGCGATTTGAAGAGAGGTGTGGCTAAGGCATTCGTGCACATCCAAGAGAGCAGGTAACTGAATGCTTTTATGCACAGAGTTGGGATGAGCTACGGTTTTCGTGTTCAAGACACCTGCCGGAGCACCACAACATTCAGCGATTCAAGCCTTTTGGTTCGATTCTGGAGCTTTGCAGAAGGGTTCAAGCTTACGGGAAGAGCCAGGCGACGACAACGGGTGCTCAGTCCAGCGCGCTCGGCCTAGCATGTGGGACCTTTACCAGGCCAGTGGATAGTGGTGGGAGTGCTGGTGGTGACAGTCGCAAGTTGCAGCAGCAGGAGCAGCAGCAGCAGCAGAGACGTCAGCAGTGGCACAATTTCAGCATAGTGGCACTAGCCGCAGAAGCCGCGCTAGCAGTTGTAGCAGTAGTCGCAGTTGCACCAGCAACAGGACTAGTCGCAGTCTCGTCGTTGCGGTCATCTCTCGCAGTAGCCGTAGCAGTCGTAGTAGTAGCCGTAGCAGTCGTAGTCGTAGTAGTCGTAGTCGTAGTAGTAGTAGCAGCAGCAGCAGTAGTAGCAGCAGCAGCAGGAGGAGGAGGAGTAGTAGTAGTAGTAGTAGTAGTAGTACAGGTAGTAGCAGTAGCAGTACCAGTACCAGTAACCGTAGCAGTAGCAGCAGCAGTAGTAGTCGTCATCGTGGTCGTCGCAGTCGTGGTGGTGGTGGTGGTGGTGCTGGTGGTGGTGGTAATAAGTAGTAGTGGTAGTAGCACAAAGCAGAGCTAACAAGTAAGGCGGGGCGTTCGGACTTCACCTCGCCGGAGCGGCCCATTGTGCCCGGATCCCTTGGGGTAGGGGTCCGTGTTTTCGGAAGTCGCGGCTGGGGGTTCAGGGGGTTCACTGGTCAAGAACTTTGATTAACTATGATTACCATGATTGTGTCTCTGTGTGTGTGTGTGCGCGCGATGACAGCAATAGCAATGCGCTGTTATGAACTGCAGACTGCTTTGTGGCTCGCTTGGTTTCATTTACTATCTGTCAGTGAGCGGGGGGTCCTGATTTCAAGATGAACTGGTCCTCCAGAGCCCTTGATAATTCCAGGCTTCGTGGTCATATATCGTTGAAGGCTTGTTACGGGTCATATAGGGAATGTCTCGTGTAGCAGCAGCACCTGAAACGCCTTCTCGGAGGGTAAACACTGCGCCATAATGCTCTTCAAGGCGTAGGTTTGGATTTTGCACTGAGAAGAGAAATCATCTAGCGTGTAGGCCGTGTAGGTATCATGGTAACAAAGGATGTTGGACGGAACTCAAGCAACAGAGCAGAGACCAACTTGGAACCTGGCCTGCGATACTCCTCAATCCTGGCATCGCAAGATTCACTCCTTCTTCACGCGAGTCAGGACCGACTGGAAACTCCACAGATCAAGCTCCAAAGAACCTGATGCCCTGAACCCCGAAGTCAACTAGATACTTGGGGGGCTTCTTTCGCCAACCGGCTGCCGCTTAACACTTCAAATTTTCGTAAACAGAAATGTTCAGGTTCCGTGGCCAGATGTCTCCTCCACGGGCGAGCTCGCCCCAGGAGCTTTCCCCTCCAGCTCCTTGAACTACACTGGGCACTTCTTTTAATCCTTTTTCATGGCCAAAGCATTGTGGGCTTAATTTCCGATCTTAGGATTTTCAGGCTTCGGGTTAAGGGCTTGACGAGGGTTTGCGGGGATTCGGGGTTGAGGTCAGGCTTCTACGGGGTTTAGCCTTCAACCTCCCAAAACTAGGTGACATCCGGTCACTCCAAGAGACTTGCAAGAATTCAAGGATTTCGATTCCATTCCCAATCCGGCGGCGGAGACTGGGATTTCGGGATCTAAGCTCAGGTTGCTCAGCGGAAAAAGAATGGTCAGGCTGTCCTCGCTTCAGGTGCCGATGCAGTTGCCAATCGGTCCGCTGCAGCAGGCCCAACCCACCATTGAACATCAGCTGTGCATGTAACGAAGGTTTCCATAAACGTCAGACAGGTAATATGCTAAAAATAATAATCCGAGGTCGTCCTTTCGTTTGACTGCAACAAGAAAATGTCCTGTTTCGATGTGTTTGTGACCGCACTGATGATGCTAACGGTGTTGATTATTGTCGTTACTCTTGTTGCTCTTGCTGTTAATACTTGTGTCATTGCAGTTGGTATTGCCACGTCTACAAGGCGGATGCAAATAGAATGCAGGGAACCCATGTCATTTATGCATGAATGTTGTTGTCACCTGCATAAAAGGGGACGGTTGTGTCCGGGAAACACAAACTGATTGCATCAGAACTGGCTCCTGTTTGGTATGCAATTACCTAAAGCCAACCCCTGTTATCTGCAAATGACGATGGTTTTGGCATCCACCACCTTAATGTGTAAGTTTTATATCAGTCATACATATGTATATATATATACACATACACATACAAACAGACACATACATTCATTCTCGCGTATCTTGTGTATGCTGCTCGAAAATGGCATGTCAGTTTTGTTTGGCGGTAGTTTGTCTGGTGGTAAATTCAAACAAATACAGGCTCTCATGCAAAGCCACCACCGTAGAAAAAGCAAGTTGTACGGACATGCCTACCCATGTGGCCATAATCTTCCTACATAAACCCAGCGAATCTATGATAGGTTTGTCTAAACCTTTCAACTTCGAGTAGTTATTGACTATCCGTTTTGTTATCACTATTTGAATGTTATCTGTCTAATGCTTGGCTGGTACTTTTTTGAATGCCCGTTTGATGGGCTGAAACACGAGTAATGTATCCTCCTCTCCGTAAGACGTGCTGAAGACTACACCAGGATTACTTCATAGCCTAAACCTTCCACTTTCTTTGTGACATATGGGGTGCGAACTATATCACTAATCCAAAGATTCCCCCCCGCTTTGTTCACGCATTCGAATCCTGGCTCCAGTTCTTTTTCCTTCAGACACACAAAACGCGGGCACATGAGGGGGGGTAGCATTCATATGCTTATGCAGATATATGTACGTACGCCACGTATCTTTGACCCAGCATGTGGAGGTCAAACTGTCTTGTGCTTGTGCAGGTTTGTTCAGTTTGTTCCATTCGTGGGGCAGCAATCTTTCCAGTTTCGAATCGGTGTTGCGTTGCAAGGTCAAGTTTGTTGAAGCATCACTCTCGTTCCGATGTCTGGGGATTGGTGAAGATCATCAAGCTTCTGAAAATCACAGCCTGGAGGGCTTCTGGTCCCCTCTATGCGGTAGTGCCACAGTCTTTTGTGACAGCAAGAATACGTTCTCACTTACTTCGAGAATTCTAACGCAGCGTTCAAAGCTGAAACCCTCAACTTCAACCATCCCGTCATTCAAGCTTGTGGCATCAATGTGGCCAGGCGGCAGCATTGCAACCCTTCCCGGCACAGTTGCAGGGAATGCAGTTCAAATCGCAGGCTGGACCGCAAAGCTGCCCCTCACAGGCTATGGTGACAAAGTCTGGAGCGAACAACGAAAAGTAGCGAGAGCATGTCCAGAATCGGCTAGAACGGCAAATAGCAGGACTAGTAACGGCAACAAGCAGTGGGAGTAATAGTAGTAGAAGTAGCAGTAGTACTAGCACTAGTCGCAGTAGTAGTAGCAGCAGCAGCAGCGGGAGTAGTAGTAGTAGTAGTCGTCGTCGTAGTAGTAGTAGTAGTAGCAGTAGTCGTCGTAGTCGTAGTAGTAGACAGGAGCAGTACGACGAGGAGGAGGATGAGGGGAGGAGCAGGTTTCCAACGCAGGAGCGCCTGTGATCTGCGTGTCGTACTGGCCACATTGTAGGACGTAGGCCCAGAACGTCTGTTCATTGACCTTTTTCCGTCGGCAGCAAGGTGACCAGGTGGATGTGTGGCCACGCTTCTGCGCCAAAGTCTTTCCAAAAGCAACCATTTTCACCTGCAGCATCGCAGTGTTGGCCTTCTAGAGGTGGCAGCGTCTGGCAGTGCCGATGTACCACCACCGTGACTGAGCAACCCAACTCCCGAAACGTAGCGGCACATGTAACTCTTTGGTCCTCCGGTGTTGTACAGATGACTGCAACCAGTATAGCTCGGTGCTCTTCTGCCGAGGGGGAAAAAGATCAAGGGCATGGACAGTCAGATGCATCGGTCTACAAGCCTCTGCGTCCAAGCGATCTCTGCCATCAAGCATGCGGAACGGCGGGGTGCAGGTTCTGGCGCCGCAGGTCCAAGGACGAAGGCCAGGATCAGCTTCGGCACATAGATTCGGTAGTGGGCTGCCTTGTAGGTGGTTGTTGCGAGAACCAACAGGTTGCGTTTCGGACAGCTCTACTGTCTTTGAGACCTTCGTGAGGTTGCTGGGTTGCTGGCAGATCTATTGCTTGGATGCTCAGATGTAGAGAGCCTCAGGGTGGAAATGCGATTCCTTGACGTCTCAGACCACGTTGGTTCTCCGGTACCAGAAGGCTTCAGCATCGCACAGCAGGTCTTCCCTCCTCGGCCATGTCTAGGTCTATATATAGACAAGCAGCCAAGGCATGAAGAAGAGCAACCAGGTCAAGGGTGTACAGAAGGTTCTGATGAGAAGAGACGTGCAGGTATGTGCCACAGGCCCCCACCAGGTCCGCTGTGTCGCTGCATGTGGAGGACAGACATATCGTAGTGAGGGTCGGGGTTGTGGTTTTCCGATCCATTTCTCCTTCTAGATGCGCTGGTGCGTATTCGCCACGAAGTTGTTCACTCAGCCCTGTTTAAAGTTCTGCTTCTCGTTAGAAGGAGGCAGTCTGACCACACAGTGCAACAAGTCAGCGCACTGGCTGCGCTCGCGCATGCAGAAAGCACTCAGGATGTATCAACAGACCATCTGGGAGACGAAGTCCAATTTGGCACAGATGCGACCGTCCTTGAAATCCTGTTGGGTGAAGAAATGTCTGATGATTTTGTCGATTATGCTGGGGTCATGATGCTGATGACGGCATGAGTGAGAATGTTGGTGACGATGTTGATGAGGCTGAAGATGACGATGATGATGGTGTTGAACATCTTGATGATGCTGATGGATGATGGTGCCGCCGCTGCTGCTGATGGTAGCGGATGATAATGGCCCTGGTACATTCAACATTTCTGGCCTTGGTTGCCATCATTGTTGTTGCCAACCACGAGGAAGATAACGGCGAGGGCTATTGCAATGGTGATGCTGGCGACAGTCACTGTAGACACCATGTCAATGTTTCTGATGATGGCGACGACGATGATGATGATGGTCAGTGCAGGCAGCAGATCGTTGAGACCCACGGTGACCAAGGCGCTTTTGCAAACCATTACAATCAGTAGCTGCAAAGTTCTACAGCCGCAGCAGGGGTCAAGGATGGTTTAGCCTCAACGACTCATCTACAGCTCTTATTCAATCATATTAGACCTGACAGCATGCTGCCGAATACTGTGTCGCAGAGATCCTGCGCAGTGAAACATCGTTGAATCTACAAACAAACCCCTTACAGCAGGGAGTCCTGCTGCACAACTAATGGTGTCTTCCATGTCGCGTCATTACTGCCGGTCTCGCGGTATCAGCTCTTTCAGACATCAGCGGTATCACCAGCATCAATGGCCTTGGCCCTGCAGCAACATGATCAAACTCAACCTCGTCCAGGACGTTGGGCAGCCGAAAATGGCGCGCTCCCCACAGGTCCCGGGCTTGTGGTGTTTAGGCCTTTCTCGAGGCGCTGGAAGATATGAGTTGCATTGATGCCCGTGGCAGGCACGCTCGCCCTTGCGCCAGCCGCCCCATACCGAGGCCATACCAGCTTGGGGCTGAGGGGCCTAGAAGTCACGGGAGCCAAAGCTGTTGTTGATTTTGTGGTGCTGCTGGTGGTGCTTAGTGCTGTTAGCACTGCCACTGGTGGTAGCAGTAGCAGTAGCAGTAGCAGTAGCAGCAGTAGCAGCAGTAGCAGCAGTAGCAGTAGCAGTAGTAGTAGTAGTAGTACGTAGTAGTAGTAGTAGTAGTAGTAGTAGTAGTAGTAGTAGTAGTAGTAGTAGCAGTAGCAGCAGTAGCAGTAGTAGCAGTAGTAGCAGCAGTAGTAGCAGTAGCGGTAGTAGCAGTAGCAGTAGTAGTAGTAGTAGTAGCAGTAGCAGTAGCAGTAGCAGTAGCAGTAGTAGTAGTAGTAGTAGTAGTAGTAGTAGTAGTAGTAGTAGTAGTAGTAGTAGCAGTAGTAGCAGTAGCAGTAGCAGTAGCAGTAGCAGTAGTAGCAGTAGTAGCAGTAGTAGCAGTAGTAGTAGTAGTAGTAGTAGTAGCAGTAGCAGTAGCAGTAGCAGTAGCAGTAGCAGTAGTAGTAGTAGTAGTAGTAGTCGTGGTGGTGGTGGTGGTGGTATATAGTAGTATTCTACCACTGCTTTTTCCGCATACCGTACGACGACGACAAAATGTTGAACGGCTGATGCGACAAGCACTGCCAGTTGGAGGCATCGACGGTGTTTCTGCCTACGTGGAGTATAGCAGCGACGACCACGAAATCATCGCTGGAGACTACCGTTACTGCGACTGCTGAATCTAGAACTAGCTTCTTGACTGCTACTTCCCCTGTTTTTGGAATATTCCTGCTACTTTTGCCATCGCTTCAACTGGCAGAAGGACCCGGACGTCCCAGACACGGGAATCATCGATGGATGTTGATCACGAATGGGGCTTTCGGGGAACTGTTTTGGAAGCGTTGGAGCTTACAGATTTTATTGCTCGTCACATCTTAATGTGTCTAATGGAAGCCTCTTGTCTTGTCCTACAGTTGTTGGAATGTCGAAACGGCGCAAGGGTTTGTCGCAGAGCAGCATGTTGGACGGATTCGATCATCTGTGTGCGGTTCGATCAGTTCCTTTGTGCGATTAAGCAGCCCTCTCCGAGTTTGATTCATGGAATGGTTTTGTTCGCGAAAGCAATCGTACTGGTGCGTAGACCTTGGCAGGGCCCTCTCGAGCGCACGTGGGAGGCCAACATCGAGCACGGCTCTGGAGCTAGGGCGGGATATCATCATGATCCTCATCAAGATAGTTGCCACCATCCCCGACATCCCGTCATCCATCCCATCATCCATCCATCCATCAATGCATACATACATACATACTTGCATACATGTGTGTGTGTGTGTGTTCGCATGCGTGTGTGCCGAGAGCGTGCGTGTGGGTCTGGGTGCGGGTGTCGGAGTGTGTGATAGTGTTAGTGTGTATGCCTGCGTGTGTCTGCGTGTGCGTTTGTGTGTCGGTCTGTCTGTCCGTCCTCCTCGTCATGCCGGCGATTCTGCCGTCGGTGACCAGCATAGCCATCATCACCACTATCATCACGATCGTCACCGTCGTCCTCATCGTCCTAATCATCATGGTCCTCCCCGGTACATCAGTGCAGATCGAAAACTGCAAACATCATCGACAGCAGACACCCTCCACCTAGGACTATATCTTTTTCTTCACGATTCTGATCACCCTCCTCATAGACTTCCCCGTCTTGGGTCGCCATCATCTCATGCCTATGATTAAGCAAAGCATCATTGTATCGCTGTCCCCGGCAAAGCTTGGGCAAGCTTTGGTGGAAAATTTATGGCCCACAGCTTTCGGATTTCAGATGCTTGCAGAACAGTGACGCTATTCTGAGCACGGCAGACAAACTCGGCATCCTTGGGTGAAATCCTTTTTCCCAACCCAGAACCGCCATGATCCAGTGGTCAGTCAGGCTAGTCAGGCTTCGGGCTCGGGACCTGTCACAGCGGGGCACTTGGCCCTGCACTGCCAGGAAGCCGTTCAGACGCTCCGGCAGGACCGGATCTTTGCGGTTTACTCACATGGTGAAGGAAACATCCCATTGCACTGTACATCTGACAAGCACATATTACAGCGCTAAGCTATCGCAGACGCCCGCACTGGAAACGTTGTGGGGTGGCGGTGGTGCTGCTACTGATGCTGTGGTGGCTGTGCTCGCAGTGGTGGTGCTGTCGGTGCCGCGGTGGTGAAAACTAAGGAGCCGAGTCTTGCAGCTGTGATGCACATAACAGCTAGCAGCTAGACCGGCATTGCTGGTGATATCAGTGGTATTGTTACAAGGCATCTGTGTTTTTGGGGTTGGCCCTTGAAGATCAGTCAGATTCTGACACTAATCAAAATCATTACCACCGTCAGGGCCAGCATAGCACCAGGTAGCAAAGGCTCCGGACAGACTTGCAGGAAGTCCGCGAGCAGTGCCGGATACAAGCCGACGTACTTCGATCGGAGGCAGGGCCGCACTCCACGCATTGTAGGAGCGATTCGAGGGCAGGGATTTCCATTGGTCTTTGGAGACAGCCTGCAGCAAGTTGGGGTTGGTTTTGACAGCCGAGGTGTCTAAGTGAATACGCTTCTTCCTCACTATGAAGCAGTAGCCTTGCAAGCTCGCATGCAGGTCGCAGCCATGTACGCGGAGAGCAGGCGCGTCCGAAAAGTGTTCGGCATCCCCTAAGGCCCCCACCCTGGATGCAGACCATACTGCCGCCAAGCCGAATATCAATTCAGTGTATCGCGGAATGCTGAGCACAACACAATGTGAGCAAGGTCAAGGAAATTAGACCACGACTTGCAGGAAGCCTGTCAGGCCTGCTGAAGTGCTAGTGTATCCTCGCCAAACTCTGCGCCCACTGGTACTTGACATCACGTACTGTCGCAGGCAGCAGTTCCAGGAATCCCTGTTGAAGCTTCAGGACCTGTTGCGAATGCAAGTTCAACGATTGGCTAGGAGATGGTCCAAGTGTGTCGGATCGTCAGTCGCAGGAAGCTCAAGGGTGTTCCCACGACGATGCCGCAGGTAACTCGTCCACGAGTTCGCATCCGAAAGCCCAACAAGGTTTTTGCAATGTCGAGTCCTGCTGCTCCAATTCTACAAGCTCAAGCCAGCTCAGCAGACTTTGTTTCAACACTAGTGCAACCCTGTTCAATCACTTGTCCGACCGCAAGCCCAACACTGTGAACAGGCAGCTACAACAGTGGACAATC